ATATATATATATAGTCTAATTTTAAGATTTTTCAGTTGAATTGAAGGATAATACACAGGGTTGAAAATCAATTACACATTTATCAAAATATTTCCATCTCAATATAAAAACAAACAAAAATATGATCAGGTAGATGGTTTCATCACAATAAATTTGACCGTTTCAGTCCCCCCCCCTGAATTTTAAATATTTAAATTTATAACATTTGGCGCCCGTTGGTTTCTTCCTTGCGTCCTTAGCCATATGGAACTCTCACTTCTCTTTCTTCTTCGTCCAAATCTCCTTCACTTTTGACCTCTGCAACACCATCCTTCATCTTCCTCACAATCCTCCACCACCAATCGTCTCTCTCTCTCTCTCTCTCATTAAAGACAAATCCATGAGGCTTCTCACCCCAGTCTTCCTCTTGCTTCTAATCAGCGCTGCAAAATCCCAGACCATCGACGACATAAAGCTTCCCCTCATCTACTTCCTCCGAAAGCTCAGTCCAAACAATCCCAACATCGACCGCAACCTAAACTGGACTGCAAATTCCGACCCCTGCTCTGATCGATGGCGAGGAATCACCTGCAACAACCGATTGCAATCTCTTCGATCTATCGATCTCGAATCCTTCAAACTCACTGGTTCCATTGACGGCGAACTCCTCTCTATCCTCTGCAACTCGAGCTCTCTAACAATACTAAACCTCAATTCTAATTCCCTCACCGGAAACCTCCCGCCGGAAATCTCCTATTGCTCCCAGCTGACAAACCTCTTTCTCAGCGACAATCGCCTCTCCGGAAGCCTTCCTTCTTCTCTCCCAAACCTAAGAAACTTGAAGAAGCTCGATATCTCCAACAACAACTTCTCCGGTGATCTTCCATGGAACCTATCTGACATCTCGGGCCTCGATACCTTCCTCGCCGATCACAACCACTTCACTGGCACAATCCCGGATTTCGACTTGAACTATTTCAATAACTTCAATGTGTCCTACAACCAATTCTCAGGTTCTGTGCCTTTGAACTCTGTAAATTTCCCTTCATCAAGCTTTAACGGTAACCCTGGGCTCTGTGGAAAGCCACTTGATGTCTCATGCTCTCCTCCTCCTCCTCCATCTTCTTCCGTTTCTGAATCAAAGAAAGCACCGGTGAATACAGTTGTACTGATATCAGGCTATGTTCTTTTCGGCTCAACCTTGGTTCTGTTATTGCTGTACTTCCTGAGGAAGAAGAAGAAGAAGAACAGGGTAATTACTCCAAAGAGAGAACCAAGCGACAGAGAACTCTTAAGCAGCAGTGAGAAGCAGGAAAGTAATTTGGTGTCTGAATACTCAATCTCTTCTCCTCAGAGCGCAGAGGAGGGTTCGTCGAGCTCCCTGATTGTGCTGAGCAAAGATAGAAGAAGAAAAGATCTGAGACTGGAAGAGCTGCTTCGAGCTCCGGCAGAGTTGATGAGAAAGGGAAAGTTTGGAAGCTCGTACAAGGTGGTGATTCATGGAGGCGAAACAGAGTTGGTTGTTAAGAGGATCAAAGATTCAACTTTGACAGGAGAAGAGTTTCGGAAAAAAATTATGAGAATCGGTGAGGCAAGCCATCCTAATGTTCTTCCTGTTACTGCTTTCTATTGCTCAAAGCAGGAGAAGCTTGTGGTCTATGAGTACCACAAGAATGGCAGCCTCTTCAGGCTTCTGCATGGTAAGGATAATCAAACTTCCTTTTCTGATCAATTGTTGAAACTCACAAATTTCCCTTTTTTTTTTCCGGGGTAAATAATAATACAAATCAGTACTGTTTATCTAATTGATAAGCATAATTCAATTAATTACAAGTAGCACCTCGCAGAGAACAGAGACCGCATAACAATTAACTTGGCCACTCGTCTGAACATCGCCGCTGGCATCTCCGCCGGTCTCTCCTACATGCACCAAACCAACGCCGCCGCCGCAGGTCACGGCAATCTGAAATCCTCCAATATCTTATTCTCCTCCGACATGAAACCTCTCATAAGTGAATACGGCCTCACAGCTCTTCCAACCAGCTGCCGCCAAATGGACGCCTACGCCTTGGGAGTCATCTTCCTGGAGCTTCTAACGGGGAAGCCCAGCAATGGATTTGATTTGGCTCAGTGGGTTCAGTCTGTAGTTCGGGAGGAATGGACGGTGGAGGTGTTTGATCGGAGTCTTCTCGCCGGAGAAGAAGATGAGAAGGCGGAGGAAGCGATGTTGGGGCTGTTGCAGGTGGCGCTGAAATGCATTTCGCCGGAATCTCGCCGGCCTACTTTGGCGGAGGTCGCCTCCATGGTCGAAGCTGTTGAGGAAAGTCTTTTCAGGTGAAGTAGAAAAAATTTGCGATACTAAGGCTGCAAATATAAAGGAGGTTATATTCACATTATATTCTTATTATATTTGTATTATATTGTCTGTAATTTTCAGTAGATTATATGAAAGTTACGTGAAAGTTATAAGGGACATAATGCGAATATTACGCTGATATAATGTGAATATAATCCTCATTATGTCCACAACATTGAGTACGTCTTAGGCACGCAAATTTTTTCCAGGTGAAGGGCAGAAAAAAAAAGATATTTTAAAGCAAAAAATAAAAAATAAGAACTTCTTGGAGGTTTTTTTTTTTTTTGGAGAAAATGTAAGCTCCTCCGTTAACTAGAGGTGTAAACGAGCCAAACACGAGCGAGCCTAGGCTCAGCTCGTGTTCTCATGTTCGGCTTGTTTATATTTCAAGCTCAAAAGTGTGTTCGTGTTCGTGAGTCGTTCACGAACAAAGAGTTGTTTTGACAATACTAATCATGTAGTCATAAAATGTTAAAGATTGGGGTAATATTTAAAACATCATTTGAATCTAAATTAATATTTTTATTATATTTTCTTCATTAATACTTTTAATTGATTATAAATCTTTTTAGTCTTATGGTCAATCAATTTTTTTAAAAATACTACTCATTAAAGATATATATATAATTGATTAGTAGTATTTCGAGCCAAAACCAGTCGAACACGAACGAACAACTACTTGTTCGTGTTCAGCTCGTTAACTTAGCAAACGAGTCGAATATGAGCTTCTTAACTAGCCGAACATGAGTTGTTCGCAAACAACGAGCCGTTTTGATAGCCCTACGGTTAACTTTATTTTTAAAAAAATAGAAAAAAATTACAAAATGTAATTTGAAATTACAACTCTTTCTGACAATAAAAATCCAAAAAGGCTAAAAAGTAAAAATTTAATAACACTTAGCAGCAAAGCTAACAATGACAAAAGAAAACCGCAACCATTCCTCAAAGAGAACTTTTTAAGGATTAATATCCTCTAATTTTTGGGATATTTAAATATGTAGCATGCAATTTTAATGTATTTACAGATCTCATACCTAAGCTTTTATATTTATATACATAACATTTTGATCTTTTAAACCCATGTATAAAAATATGTACTCCATTTTTAAGAAGTGATAATTATCTTATCAAATTAAAAAAAAAAATCTAATGGATATTATATTACACATTTTTAATATTTTCTATTTAACTAATAAAGGTTTAAAAAAAACAAAAACTACTTCTTGAAGTTGTTTATTATTATAGGATAAATGTACTTTATTTTTTTGGGATAATTACATACAAGCAACCCCAAATATTGATAATTATAAATTAATCATTCAAGTGATTTTTTTGAATTAACTAAATGATTTGTTTATAGGTCCCACGATCAATCTATTGAGAATTTGATAAAAATGAAACATATGAGTTGGGATTTTACCGTGAACTTTGATATTTGAGTGAGAATTTAAAAAATGGGTGAATAGCTGTAAGATTTGCAAATCACATCCCGCAATTTGTGTTTATTTGTAAATGGGTAAAAGGATAAATATCATTTAGGGATTTTTACATATGAAAGTCTCCAAACTGTACAATTTAGAGCTAAAAGTTCCAAAACTTTTAATTTGCGCCAGTAGGACTAGTGTCCTTCATCATCATCCTCTAGAAGCTTTTCGCCAACTAGATGGTCGTCTTTCGTGTGAATTCCATCTAAATCGCCACCATGCTCCCCTGTTTCAACGCCGGCTTCTCCCTTCGAGTACGAAATTGGGAAAGAAGATTTAGAGACAAGGAATACGTCATTGCAGAAGTACACTGTAGAACTTTCAACTGCTGAAAGTATTACAGAAAAACCCTTATATATTTCGCACATCAAACCATACTAAGGTCATGATTGTGCAGAATGATAATATGCTGGATGTGAAATCATTCAGGCGGAGAGCGGAGGCACCGGAAGGTTTCATGGAGCTTTCAACCAAATTGCTTCTACATAATGGGTTGGAAGAGCTGACTGCCATCTTGAAATCGTTTGGTAAGGTTGAGGTCTTACCATGAGAGATGGCTATCTGGTTGGCAAAAAGCTTTAAGGAAATCATGATAGAGGACGCTAGTCCTTTAGGCGTAAATTAAAAGTTTTTGGGCCTTTAGCTGTGAATTGCATAGTTTTGAGATCTCTATACGTTAAAAACTCCTTTCTCATAATTTTTATGTTTTTATAATTCTCAGACCTAAACTTCCATATTTACATTTTAGATGAAAATATATTTTTAAAAAGTGATAATAATATTATTTTTGATGTGATGTCGAGATTTTGGATGTTTTTTATATAAACATGGACGATTAGAATGCTAATTTTGTATGTAAATACATAAGAATTGTGTACTAATATTCTTTAATTTTTTTTATGGTAATTGGTGCCAAATAAGTGCTTGAGGCATTGTTGTGCATTTTTCCAATTTGCATGGAGTTTTTTGTAATGATTTTATTTTTCTACTTATGCTTAAATAATTTTGGGTATTTTGAGTAAAGTTTCTTTCTTTTATATAAGTAATACTAATATAAATTTGAATGGATTTCTCTTTGTCCTACTTTCTTATATAATATATCTCCTTTAATAAAAATAAAATAATATAAATAAAAATAATACATGAGAATTGAATAAGATTTTCCTACATGAAATCAGAATTTTTTTTTTTGAAAATACATGATGATCATTGAAATTAAGAAAATGAAATTTTGAACCAACCTTGCACAATTAATAAAATTTAATTAAAAATAAAATTAAAATAAATAAAGAATTAAATAATTTCAATAATTCATAATTAACTTGTTTAAACTTAGAATACATTGAAATTTTTAGGATTTGTTCAGAATTCTTATTTTAGCATCCCTATAAATTCTCAAGAATTTGAATTTATTATAATTTATGAAGTAATAAAATTCATAAAAAAACTAAAATAGTTATAAAAATAAATAAAAAATTATAGAACTTTCACAAATCATATTTGAGACCAATAAAACTTCCAAAAAATAAATTCATGAAGTCTTATAAACATTTAACCTAAACTATATAATTTGTTTGAAATATTTGAAATAAATTAAACTTTAATAATAAACAATTCCTAAAGAGTCATAAAATGTAGAAAATTTAATATTTTTTTTACAATATTAATTAAATACATATGTATTGCTTATAAACATATATGACATTTAAATAATATCATAATAAATTCAAATAAAAATCATAAAAGATATGATGTTTGATTATATGTGTTTGGTTTGTTGATATTGTTGTGATTGTTTATTAGTTTGAATGCTAGTGCGGCTTATGTGTAAGACTAGATATTAAGGTAATTGGATAAATAATAATTATAAAGTAATTTGTTCTCATGCTGGTGGTACACAAAAATAAAGCTCAAGGCACACTTTATAAGACATCTGGTTTAGTGTTGCAGCACGATGCTGGCTCCAAACAGTTTTTTATGTTTGTTTATATTTATTATTATTATTTGTGAATACTGATATTTTCTAACAGGGCGCCTAGTAAATGTAAGGTTTTTTTTCTTATTGAGTTTATTATAGAGTTTGGAGTTTTTCTCCATGAATCTCTGCACTGCCTGTAGTGGGACCCACTAATTGTCAGAGTGATGATGAACATTAACTCAAATAAAAGACAAAGGATTAACCTCAACTTCAAATCAAATACAAGAATGGACTTCATAGTACCAATAATATGAACTAAAGGCATCCACAAAGTTTGGACGGTTGATGAGGCAACCTTAGGTGGATGATTGGTCATCCACTCTTTTTTTTTCTTTTGAGGTTCATGGTTGTATTCATTTGCACCTATTTTATTGGATTGTTTGCTATGTTGATATCATTTTTAGTCACATAGAACTTGTACAGATATCATCTCTTGGTCTGACGGAGCAAAATTGGCTAAAAAACAACTTGCCTATTTTTTTGGCTTGGTTTGGTAACACTAGGCCTATGCATGACCACTAGGGGTGTAAACGAACCGAACACGAACGAACAAAGCTTGTGTTCGTGTTCGATTCGTTTAAAATTTAGTTTGTTTGAAATAAGCTCGTGTTCGTTTCTTAACGAACGAGCCGAACATGAACTGAACACGAGCTGTTCGCGAACGACGAGCCAGTTTGACATCCCTAATATTAATATATAAAAATAATATTATATATTAATTATATAACTTATATTATATAAATATACAATATCTATATTAGTATATTACTAC